GATGGGTGGCCAAATGAATTTGCTTCAATAAATAAATATTATTCTAAAGTTTTCAGGAAGAAGACCAAATCCAGAAGAATTAAAAAGGCATTTCCAAAAGTGAGAAAAGGGGGATAGGAAACAAAATGAGGGCATCTACTTACACAAGGTAAGTTGTTTTTTACAGGTTGAGTCCAATACCCATCAATCCCAACTAGGATAGCCAAAGGTCAGAGATAAAAGGTATTTTTGGTTGGCCAGTAACTTTTCAATCAGTTCCCTAGGTCCCAAAAAACAGAGTTTCTACCTGGCAAATAGAGGAGTTTGATCCATCAGCCTCCCATCATGCCAGAGATACATTATTGTAATACTCTTGAAGGGACTAATTATCTTTTGTACATCACATGTTACTGATGATCTTGAAAACAAAATAATACTACATAATTGGTATAATTTATATGTCAAACTTTGCCTTGGCTTCCTGTTTCCTCCATCCTTACGCTTCATCTTTCATGCTCTACATCCACCCTTACTTTAGACTTATTTCTTGTTCTTCAGGCTGTTTCTTTTTCCAAACCAGCTTTCTTCAACCTGCAGCCTCCTGAATGTGTCGGTCTCTTGGATGAGGATTATAGGAGCTTTAATCCAACTCATTTGGATGGTGGGAAAAAGGTTTTCAACCCATTTCTCTGTGGACTCCAAATTCCGAACCCTTGAAAATTCATTTTCATCTCTCCACTGAATTATCATTTTATCAATCCTTGACCTGACCAGGCAGTTCTCTGTCTTTGAACAAGCATGCATTATTATTTTTTCTGCCCTTTTTGGGCTCAATGCTGAAAATATCTACATTGCACTTTATAAAAGCCCCAAAGCTAATTCTTTCCCTCTACAGCTAGAAGGTTCTATGGCACAAACTCTACTATGAGGATGCTTGTATCCCCAACTATTATACTTACAGCATACATGGATTACCTGGATGCCACACAACTGTGGGAAGAGACACAAAACTTTCCTGTAAAAGTGTGTGAAAGCAATTCTTTTTATTTGACAATGGAGAAGCTAGCTGTTTACAGATCCTGAGCATTACTCAAAGTTTACAAAGGTAGAAGTTTTCTAAACAAATACTGAAGGAAGCAGAGAGATTGGCATTTCAGAAATTTCAGAAATAAAATGGTTATGAAAATAATAACTGTTATGCTAAGAATTCAGGATGGAAGTCTCCCATCTGGTAATAATGATAAAGGTATGTCCATATGTGAAAACAATAAATGCAATCTTAAGAACTGTATAAGATATTGTCACTTTGCAGTGATGCTTATTACATTCATGGGACTCAGTGTGGGTGTATTAGACTCTGTCTGAATTACATATTGCATAACTAAGTCTTACCACATACTGAAGCTGAAAAATTACTTTGTTCCACATGTGTGCTACATCTGGAGCACATTATATCCAGCCTTTCTTTCATCACATGTAGATCAGATTCCTTAGCCACCTTCCATTCCAAATCTGTTTAGGTTTTGTCTGATAGCAATAGCACTTAGACTTATTTCACAGTGCTTTACAGCCCTCTCTAAGCAGTTTTACAGAGCCAACATATTGCCCCCACAATCTGGGTCCTCATTTTACCTTTCTCGGAAGGATGGAAGACTGAGTCAACCTTGAGCCTGGTGAGATTCAATCTGCCAAATTGCAGGCAGTCGGCAGTCAGCAGAAGTAGCCTGCAGTACTGCACTCTAACCACTGCGCCACCATGGCTGATAGCTTTATCATCTGCCCACAGACCAATCTTTGTGTAGCCTATATAATTCAATCATGTCCCTGCTATTTATAAGTTTTCACTATGTATATGTGCACTGTTAAGCTATGCAAAGATTTGTGCAAGTGTGTGCTCATGAGTCTAGTGAGTGTATTAACACATTCAAACTATGCAATTCATGCTGCCATGTATCACATTGTCTATGAATCACCTTCAGAGTAACCAGTCAAGGCAGATGATTGTCAGCATCAGCATCTCAGACAGCCCAAACTGGGTCATGCATATAGCGTGCGTATTAGTCAGAATATAATTTGAGTTAGAGCCTAATTCAGAACATCAGATTAAGTGAAAGCAACACATTAATAAGCAAGTACGAAGTCCTTCCTTCAAAGCAATATCTATGCTTATGGGATTCAAATAAGCTCTTCTCATCAAGAGCCATGGTGGCACAGTGGTTAGAATGCAGTACTGCAGGGTACTTCTGCTGATTGCTGGCTGCCAGCAGTTCAGCAGTTCAATTCTCACTAGGCTCAAGGTTGAATCGGCCCTCCATCCTTCTGAGGTTGGTAAAATGAGGACCCAGATTGTTGGGGGCAATATGCTGACTCTGTATACTGCTTAGAGAGGTCTGTAAAGCACTGTGAAGTGGTGTATAAGTCTAAGTGCTAGTGCTAGTGCTAATTGTTGTTGTGGTGGCATAAACAGCTTTGTATCTAGAAAGATCTTATCAGAACCCACATTTTTCAGAACTGTAGTGATTTTTAAATGTATCATTAAAATATCATTATTCATGATAGGATGAAGAAAACATAGTGGTTATACCTTACAAAGAAGAGTACTTTTTGTTCCGGAAGAAAACCAATTTCCTTCTTGGTAAATAGTTCAAGGATCTTCTCTTAAAACCATCAACATCACTGTCATCAGCTTGAATAAATCTACTGCAGGATGAGGGTCTCTTACTTGAAGTTTATAGAATGTTATCTGCATGTTGGTCCTGTAAAGTTCAGTAAATTGATGTTTTTTGGATTTCCACATCAGAGGAATGAGAGAAAGTGACTGGCCCAAAGTCATTCAGCCAACTTTTGTGCTTAAGAGGGGACTAGAACCTGGGTCTTGCCACTCCTTTAACCATTATACCACATTGGCCTTCTTTCTTAATGTTCTCATCACACACTAAATAATAAATAAGAAGCTAATTTAGTGATAGAAGCTTAATCTCTGTGCTTAAAAAAAAAAGGAAGGTGACTCTGCTCTCAAAATCCATCACCTTTCTCGCTGTCAATAACAGGAAGATAATCATGTCCAAATCATCAGCTTCTACCATATGAGGAAGTAGTGCTATGAAATTCTGTCAGCTTTCTTTCATATGTTGTAACTGATGGTTTCCACCACTGGGAGGTGCGGGCGGGGGCATTTCTGGAGACATGGAAGGCAAATTAGCAATCACCAATTCACACAGGTTTAGCCATTGTCATAAGTACACTGGTGTTCTTGACCCAGTGGACTAGCAAGTAGATCAAAGACATTGGAGCAACATTCACTGGCCACCAACACAGCACTAATACACATGAAATTCTAGCGAGTTGGATAAAGGCGTTTTGCTGTAGGAGATTAAGAACAATGCAGCTAGCAGTGGAATTTGAGTCTCTGTTTAGGAGTTCTCCACTTCATTGGAGCTAGCATGTTTCATGCCAGCCTGATAATTTTGTAAAGATGTTTCTTTTAATCCCATGCTGCTCTTGCTCACAAGAACTTCAGAGCATATCTTTTGTGCAGGACTTTCATTCTCTCCTACCCTACACAGGTGAGATGCCAAAAGAAACAGAGCCACAGAGGGGCATTGAGAAGGAAAAGATCCACGATATTTGCAGAAGTGCAGGAACCTATGGACATGGAGCTTTTCGGTATCACAAACTATTCAGTTGAAAAGGTTTGGAGGTTCTTAAGATGACTTGCAGATTGGAACTTCTATTAGTTGGTAAGGATACAGCGGAATGCTCTGTTAAGGTCATGTTTTTTCTCTTATTTATTATATCACATAATAATACATAGTAGCCAATAATCAACACATCACATGCTTTAATATCATTAAGATTGTATATTGATTCTCCAAAATATAACATTACCTCCATATCTTTTAAAACCTTTTTTAGATTTGCTGCAGCAGCATTGTTCTGAATGTGCTCCCTGAGCTATTCCAGACCATTTATAAAATGGCTTTTATAAAGAACAGACAATCTTCAGTGAGATATTGCTGAACTCCAAATGAAAATTACTTTAAGAAACTACTGTATATAACTTTCTATTAAACTTGAAAATGGAAGATGAACAAGTTAAAAAAAACAAAGCAAAAAGTTTTGGATATAATATAGAGTTAGAGAAATGGCAAAATATATGGGAAAGAAATTATAAATTAACAACGGCAACTTCTTATAAAGAAAATTTATATAAAATGATTTATAGATGGCATTTACCACCTGCTAGGTTAGCCAAAATGTTCAAAAATAGGTCTAGTAAATGTTGGAAATGTAACCAAAAATCTGGCACATATCTGTGGTGGACTTGTGCCAAAGCAAAAAAAAAAAAAAATTGGGCAAAAATACACGTGACTAAGGAAAACTTTTTTTTATTAGGCATACTATCAGAAAACTGATAAATGAAGTGTATATTTAATATTGCATGTATTAAACAGCAGTGAGGGTTGTATTTACTCAGCATTGAAAAAAATGAAGACATACCAGTAGATGAAGAGATAATTATGAAGATATTGGACTGTGCAGAAATGGAGACATACAGTGAAGATTAAACAGAAAGAAGATACAGAATACTACCAAACCATGGAATTTATTTTATCAATGGCTGGAAAAAAGGGGTAAAGATTAGGAATATAATCTGAATTGTTAAGCAAACAAAACAAACCAGGCAACACGATGTTTATTAAGCGCTAATTAAATGTAATAGTACAAAATTAATAAAACTTTATAAATAAATAACGTTTCAAAGCGTCGCATCGTAGAAAGGAACAACAAAAACAAAAACCCCAACGCCACGCATGTTCATTGCAACGGGTAATCTGAAATATTACTTGCTTCTCAGAGTACTCTACAACACAAACAAGGCGAGGAGGGGAAATTTCAACCTCTCCCTCGCCAACGGGCGAGATTCAAGAACGGAATAAACACTTTCCTAACCTCATGCATATTTATAACATGGGCAGTGTTCTTTTTACGTAAAAAGAGTGCAAATTCAAAGCCGGCCCGAGTGCTGAGTCCCCCTGCTCGCAAGGAGTCGCTGCAAAGCCGCGTCGGCGGAGACAGGCCGAGGCTTGGAGGCTGCCGGGTGTGGATCCGCTGCTGCCTTTTAATCTCCCCTGCCGCGGCGGCCGGCTCATCTGGGCGATGGCGGTGACAAGGAAGGTCGCAATTCGCCTGGCGTATTCGGTGGTCGGGATAATCTCGGGGCTGTCGTCCTTCCTCGCTTGGAACCTGGCGCCGAGGCTGCGACAGCCTTACACCGCCTCCGCCGGCGGACTCTCGGGTGAGCCTCTCTGATCGGCAGCGGGAAACGCGGCTTGCGGGTCTGGTGGACTGGCCTCCCCGCTCTCCTTTCCCTCTGCTTTTTGGGTCCGTCCCCAGCTCCCTCCAAGCCCTGGAGGGAAGCTCCCCCACACCCCGTGCCGCTTCAACCCTGCCAACCCGCCTGTCTCGTTCCTGAACGCCGGCATGCACGGTGGGAAGAACGGTCGCCTTGGATTTGTTTGCGGGTGGGGGAGAAAAGGGCTGTTTTAGAAGGGCGGCGGGGTGGTTTTACTACTCCGAAGTAAGTTACTACCGAGTTCGGTAGGGCTTTAAAGGCGAATAGGGTTGTAGGTGTCATATTTATTTTTCCCACAAGCGGCTTGCTCTGCATTTCTGTATGCTGTCAGGTGCCCAAGGCAGCCCTGCGAAGAAAAACCCAGAAGAGATGGCATCTGTCAAACAGCCAATCATACAATCAGAGTTTTCTAGTCGTTAAAGCTTAGTAAATAACCAAGGACCTGTCCAGGTGGCCATCAAAATCAAAAACTGACTTAAAGGCATAGAAACAAAAACAAACACCGATTCTTGTGTCAACTCACATTATTAGTTGTTATTTATTAGGTGTATACCCCACCTTCCAATCAGGATGCAATATGATGCTCCCTTATCAATTTTCCTCCACAACAACATTGTGAGCTTGGTTGGGCCATGACAGAATGAGGGGCCCAAAGTCATCCTGTGAGCTTCTGTGGCTGAGGCTGTTTCTGTATGACAGCTAGTAGCCTTGATTTACCATCTGTCTTAACATGTTTTTTTTTTCCTGCCTGTTGCTTTGGGCCTTTTCCAAAATAAAATCCATTGAAAATACAGAGACGTTAAAAATAAATGTCTATGAAAAGTTAATTAATTGGTTTGTTTTTAGTTTTTGTTGCAGTTTGGTTGGGTGGTTGTATCAATCACAATTTTTTTCTTGTAATTTTATTTGTGTAGTGGTTAATGATATACCACTCAGGGCCATCATGCTAAGCTATTTTCATTCATCTTATGTTTCACTTGTTACATTGGTATCCTGCCTCTTCAGGGAGTTTCAGATGTCACCTGATCTTTTCAGTTTGTCAGATGTTTACAACAGTCCTGTGAGGTAGGATAGCCAGAGAAATAGTGATGGGCTGAAGGTCACCCACAAATCATATGGGTGACTGAGAATTTGAATGGGATCTTAACATTTTAATTAACCTCTGATCCTAACGTTTTATTTATTCAATTTATATGGCCACCCACTTCATCTAAGTGACTCTGGGCAGTTCACAACAGGTAAAAACAATCCAATCAAAAACAAGGTTAAAAAAAGCAACGTACAAGCATATAAAAACAATCCATAACCAATTAAAAAAACAATCGTGATCACAGCAGAATTTATCCTACATCAGCTCAACAAAGCCATTGTTGTTCCTCACCATACCCAGACTCCTAACATGGCGGCACAGCCTTATCTTCAGGGCCTTCTTAAAGGCAGGAGGTTGTGGGGGGGCAAGCTAAGTTTTGGAAGGATGATGTTCCGTAGAGTGGGTACCACAGCAGAAAAGGCTCTTTCTGGTTCCTGCCAGAAAATGTTTTTTTATAGATGGGATCAGTAATATCCTGATTCTGATGGGCCAGGTGGATGTAACTAGGGGAATACCTCCTTTCAGTTCATGATACCAATGTTCTCCAACCTTTTAGGCTGGTTGGCACCTTTTGATAGCAAACAAAAACTTGCCTTCTTCAATTTATTTCCTAAGAAAGCTTCAAAAGGTCCAGAGGCATTCCTGGAAATAAAAATGATCCAAGAAACTAGCTTTGTAAGTTTTACAGTTTCTCTTAGTTTAAAGTCTTCCCTGAGTTGAGTTCAACTTCTAATGATTCCAGAGACCCATCTGTGTAATTCTCTGTAAGTAGTTTGTCATTGACTTCTGGGTTGCATTCTGGGGACTTCTCATATCTGAACCCAAATATTTATTGATTCTCTCTCATGCAGCAACTAACCAGGTCTTATCCTGTTTTGCTTTTTCTGGACGGCCTCAATACAGTCTCATTAATTTAACATATTTTTTTTAAATGTAAAAGATGAGGCAGAGGGCCTGGTAGACCCTAAAATAAACATCTGAGGTTCCAGTGGAGGCCCACTAGTAACCCTGAAGTCAGCATTTTAATGTGCCGTCGATGTAACACAGCACCTAGGAGCCAGACTTCCATGAAGAAGATGGTTTTACCAATTTAAATGTGACTCTGCATTTGTATTATGTAATTAGTAGCCTGGACTGATTAAGGACTTTATTTCCATTATTTCTTGCACTGCATTTATTTATGGCACTTGCTTTATATGCAGCAGAAGTTCTCTGTGTATAATTAGAAGAGCAGCGTAGGGTAGAAACCAAGCAAACAGCAAAGGCAAAACCACACGATTTAAACATGCAGCTTCTAAATGACCTCCTAAATGTGCAACTTCCTTCAAGGGATTGGTGAAGGGAAGAGTCTTTGCCTGGTGCTTAAAAAAAACTGTGTTTTCATCCTCATGAGCCTCTCTAGGGAGTCTGTATCATAATTGGGATGCCTATGTCATGGAAAGGGCCTTCATGTGCTTTCTGGCTTCTTCCTAAATCTGGTCAAAGTCAGTAGGCTTTTCAACAATCACCTTCATTATGTAGGAAAAAATCAATTGACAAAGAAAAAGATTTAGGAAACTCTTGGGATGCAAAATGCAAAGTGTTCTTTAAGTCAGTCCCATTAACTTTAAGGACATGCCCCTGTTGGAGTCTGAAGACAAACAGCTGATAGGGAGTGGGAGTGTGGCTCCATTGGCTGTGGAGGAAACTGGGGAAGGGCAAAGTCCGGCTGGGCAGAGCAGGGAAGAGGTAGAACAAGGGAGAGGGAATTCAGAGGAAGACACAGGCCCACCCCCTCTTCATCCTAGGGCGCGCAGGGAGGAACGGAGAAAAGAACAACGTGGGTTGCATGGCTTATGGGGGAGGAAAGAGTCCTGATTCCCTTCATTAGCCACACCTGGGAAGAAAGGTTAAGAGACACGCAGGCTGCGTGCGGCAGCTGCTGGAAGCAAGCGGCTGAGTTTATCTTGTGTTGACTTTGCTTATCTGTGTTCCTGGGGTCTTTCCAACTGTGTGAGTTTTGCCGTGCCTTCACGCCTGGAATTCTTGCTCCTGCCCTGCCAAACTAATTACCTCATTTTGCCTTGATTGGACTTATAGTTACAGTTTTTGTTGACCACAGTTTGGACGTGATTCTCTGCAGTCAAAGACTGTTCATGGGAGAGTTTTTCTCCAGCCAGAAGGTAACCAGGACATTGGGGGCAAAGCTGGAGCTAATAAAGGGACTCTTATTGATTAACTGACTGTGTTGCCTTTGTGTCATGCCCCGGGTCATCACACTGGGCATTGCAGCCTTCACCTGATGAATGATCCAGGTAGTTTGGATTCCATTGCCACCAGTAAGATGGGAAACTCTGATCTTGATGTTGAAATTGAACTGGTTCTCCCTAGTACACAATGGGCTGAGTATGGTCTTCCAAGCAATAAACTGTTGTGGGTGCTACCTGACCACAGTTGTCTGATAGATATTGTGCCTTGCCAAAGTACTTTCTCTATTGCTGTCATTTCAAAGCTTGCAGTGGGAGTATAGAAAATTTAAGCCAACAGACCTGTTGAGCTCTAAGCCACCACAAAACCAACACAGTGGGTGTCCTGTTTTGTTAGTTGCATATATTTTCCACCCAGAAAGAATAAGTTCCCAGCTTATCCATTTGAAGTCTGCTTGTGTTAGGATGCATATGGGCCTGTATTTCTTCTGTCAGCCTTACTTTCATCAGCAAGTGGCAATTTGCATCAAGGCAGGATCATGCACGGTGGACATCTGTTTACTTTCTTTTGTACTTCGTTAGGAATTGTCTGCCAAAAATTGTTAAGGCACCAAGCTAGAAACCAGGAGACCACATATTCTAGTCTCACCTTCACCACAAAGCCAACTGGATGACCTTGGGCCAGTTTCCCTCTCTCAACCCTAGGAAACAGGTGAGGGCAAACCACTTCTGAAAATCTTGTAAAGAAAACCGCAAGGATTTGTACAGACAGAAGTTAAGATTGATCCAAAGGGACGAGGGGTGGAAAAGAAAATAATTGTCCAGGCAACTGTTGGTCATACAGGCAAAGCGCCAAAGTCATTCCTAAGGAATTCGTAAACATGGTTTTGGTGACATCGATGCTGAAGGTGATAGAGAATTGATTCAAATCAGAACTAATGATTACAAGTTTGGCCTTGGATCATAGGTTCCAACATGAAAGCACCTGAGATTAATGGAAGATTTTAGCTCCTTGATGATTTTATCTATAGATTGGGTGTGTTTGGTTTTAATCTGTCAAATGAGAATGACTGCATCCCATAGAAGAAGAAAGCTAGAGATTCACCAAGAATGTAGATTGTTTCTTGGTCCTTGTTTCTCGCCGTGTTGGGAAAGTTATAGAGTCAATTGAGAGACCTCGTTAAGCAAATTGCGCTGATAGAATTAACTCCCCCAGATCAGAAGGAAATGAGTTAGTTTTTTCCAACTAACAAATTTTATTAGATTTTCATGAGGTACAGCTCACTTCATCAGAGCATAGGGTGGCTAGATTGATGTAGGAGTTCACAAAAGCATATACCTTTGTATAAAATGTTGGTCTGAATAGAGAGTACCAGTTTAATTTTTAAGTTTTTTTGTTTTTTGTTTAGTAACCATAGACTAATATGTCTCTCCTACAATCACCGCTCCCCGCCTCCCATTGATTTGAAGAAATACACTTGCAATGTAAATTCACATGACTGCTTTATCTTGTATCAGACCACTGATCTGACTCTTCACGTATTTTATTTATTGAATTTGTATCCAGCAAAAAATTGCTGGAAAACATGGTCATGTGACTGAGGTGTGCTGCAAACAGCCATAAATGCTAGCCAATTGTCAAGCATCCCAAATGCAATAATGTGACT